TCAGCAGTTTTTACATGTTCAATTCAGTTCAATCCTTTCAACTATATAACCAATCTTGTCATCTTTTCCTGTGTGATTCTTCCACTATTAACACATACTTACCATCACATAAGCTTGCTTTCTAGCCTTTAGTGTCATGGTTGTCAGTTTAATCCCGTGCATATAATTCATTACAAGGTGATCTATGAGTAGATGTTTGGCCAGAAACACAGGCTGAACAAGGGTGGAAGAGAGAGTGGGAATATACCTGTGAAGATATATGTTTGACAGAGGATATTTGCATGTGTGTTTTTTCCTTCACTGTACATATATCCATGAATGTGGTGGAATATACAGGGATAAAGTTGTGAAAACTTCTTAAACATAATCAAACACCTTGAGAGAGATGGTTGCTGGGCCTAGAGCAATGGTTCTCAGCCTGTGGGTCACGACCCCTTTGGGGGTCAAACGACCCTTTCACAGAGGTCACCCGATTCATAACAGAAGCAGAATAACAGTTATGAAGTAGCAACAAAAATAATGTTATGGTTGGGGGTCACCGCAACATGAAGAACTGCATGAAAGGGTCGCAGCATGAGGAGGATTGAGAACCACTGTTCTAGAGGATCATGACCATAATCTTGGAGGACTTTAAGGTCAATTGCCATAACTAGAGTTCAAAAAATTTTGTTTTATACCCTATATTGTTGAGTAGCGAGTTGGGTCTTAAAAATATGTGAACAGCCCTTGAGACAGTTAGTTTATTATGCCAACCTGGCCTATAAACACATGTGGGGTTAATTGAAGGACGGAGGGATAAATGGCTCAGTGAGCCTCGCAGTTCTACTTCTCAGGTCTCTTGCTTTGTGATGGGCAGACCAGGGTGCAGCTGCCTTAGCCAGTTCCCTGCAGGCTCACTTCCTGCAGGACATCCTCAAGAAGAAGCCACATGGACCTACCCCGATGCAGCCCTGGATGCTGGAGCACCCGTGTTGAAACCCCTGCCAGCGCTGAGATGCTTACACATTCACTGGCTCAGCTTTCCTCCTGCACTTGGCATTATTGCGTTTGTCTTGTGAGATGGAGGAGGATTTTGTGGATTGGGGTTGGACATATGGGTTAATGTTGGACTTGGCTTGGGCAGCTCTGGGTTGGGATGTTTTCTTGATGCGCACTTAACCTTTTTATAAAACTCTCTCTTATACATGAGTTTCTGTGGATTTGTTTCTCTAAAGTACCCAGACTAGCACAGCCCTCTAACATGCAACTACTGGTCTCTCTCCATCCACAGGAAAGAAGAGTGATGAAAATTGAAGGCACAAGGAAACAATTAGTACAATGTACTTAAGGACCACACAAAATCAGCCTCAACAACCACAAGACCACAAGATCTAAATGATATCCAGTTACCATTACCAACTGCTCCAACAAAGATCACACTAGAAAGTCCCAAGCAGAGTGTAAAAAATGTGACTAGAGTGCAAATTCATCAGATTAGTCATATTGATCAGATAACAACTGGTGGGACCCCGGAGACCATGGTCCTTAGTTGCCCTTTGGGTTTCTGTATCAGAAAAATTAAATGTTTAAAATAAAAATGGCAGCTTTAGCCCATGGACAGTGCTCACAGAGTTAGAGAGGAAGGAGGAATGGAAACTGGACACACAGGGAGGAAGTGTAATAAGTACACTGGAGGGATTAAAATGCATTCGTTGAAATAAAATATGATTGAATTTTAAATGTAAAACTGATTATCTGCTCTGTAAGCCTTCACTTAATTAACAATACGTTTTTAAAAGTTTACAATGCTCAAGGCATACATTTTAATTGATGTATATTTTTATAAAAGTAATAAATATTTTTGAGAATATGTAATCAAGAGATTCATATCTATTTTAGCTGTGCCTATAAAATAAAATCCTCCTTGTATTTAAAATAAAAACAAAGTGAACTTGGAAAGATTGCAAGCATTTTTATAGTTTCTGGGATGTAATAAACTAGCCAAATAAAATCCCCTTGTCCTACCCCAGCCAAATAAAAAGTTCTAGGGCGAGGGTCACAGACTGGGCAGTTCTGAATAGGAGGTCGCAGTGTCCTCTAAGCTCCACTGCATTTAATGAGAACAGCATCCTGGCACCTTCTCAGGACCCACTGCAGTAAGCAGAAGCCACTGGTCACCAGCATCATGAATGTCGTAGAAAAGCTTCGTCCTACCCAGAAAAGAGCTGCTGCCTCCCTTTTCATTGCTTCCCTTGCCATTCCCTTAGTGAGAGAGCAAGCAGGAAATGAGAGCTGAGAATCAAGAATTATATCTGCAGCAGTGGTTCTCAACGTTCCTATTGCCTTGACCATTTAATACAGTTCCTCATGTTGTGGTGACCCCCAACCATAACATTATTTTCGTTGCTACTTCATAAGTGTAATTTTGCTACAGTTATGAATCATCATGTAAATATCTGATAGGCAGGATGTACTTTCATTGTTACAAATTGAACACAATTAAAGCATAGGGATGAATCACAAAAACAATATGTAATTATATATTGTTAAATATTTATTTCTAATGACAAATAAATGAAATTTTGTCTTAAAGCGTGGTGTAGCATGGGTAATAGTCTTCGTGCTCAGTACTTGTATATGAGCATATCTGCATGTGGACGCACCCGCCTGGAGATGGATAGAGGAGCGGTGTCTCGGTTCCTAAGACCACTGGATATATGTTTTCCAATATTCTTAGGTGACCCCTGTGAAAGGGTCATTCGACCCCAAAGGGGTTAGAACCCACAGGTCGAGAACTGCTGATATAGAGGAACATGGGATCACTCCAAGAATGACTATGAAGAGGTCTATAAAGTGATCAGATTGAAAATTAACTCAGATCAAAAATAACTGGAAGGTGCCCAGGTAAGCAGCTTGCATTGCAAGCTCCATGGTGATCAGTAAATTAACCAATTAGGAGACAGAGTTGGGGATTCAAGTAAGTGAACAAACTGTAGCAATACAGAGTACTCCCAAGGCCAGGGAGGTGAACTTCCCTCCCAGCTAGCCATGCTCCAGAACCCATAGGCTCTGCCCGAAGTTCACCCAAGACACTCAACACCATGAGCAATCCCCTTCTCCCCATCCAGTGCTCCACCACCACACCTAGTATCCTCCCAAGGCCAGTCTGTGGCCCCAACAGCCATGGCTAGACTCTGTCTGCATTCCACCCAAGGAAAGCCCCACAGCAAACAGTCCCACACACCCTGCCAGCCCATGGCTATACCTGCCATGGTTGAAACCCACCCTCAACTCTGTCACTCACACAGTAGATCAGGCGCCTGAGCCCGGGTTTCACTTACCTACCAACTGCAGCCCGTGCCACTGTGGCCAGAGCCTGCCATCCATCTGTGCAGTGCTCCAACAGCCATGAATGGAACAAATCAATAAGTACACAAAGTCCAACTGTGACCCTTTAGCCTACACCTGGATCCCTCCCCAGCAAGTGACTGCAGCTCTTAAGGCTGCAGTCAGAACCCATCTGCCAGCCTCTGCAGATTGTCCTGTAGGGCCAACCTGGACACCACAACACTCTAGTGAGTCTGTCCTGGACTAGTGGCTTCTCTGCTGGACCACCTCCAGCCATGAAGTTTTCCCATGCAGCAGCTGTGACCCCATAGCTTCTCTGCTGGGTCGCTTCCACCCCTTGGGGCCTACACACAGTAAAGCCACAACCATGCAGCTTCTTGACTGGCCCACCCCCAACACTGGGGCTATCCTGTGGCACCATGATGGCTCTGTGGACTCTCCACTGGGCAGCAACTGACCCCATGGATAACTCATGCTATCTTTGTGAACTCGCAGTTTCTGCCCCAGATTTATGGTCCCTCCGCAGCGCAACCCAACCCAGCCGTATCCCAGCCAGCGCAAACCAGTCCCACAGACACACCATAGGCATGCCCTGGCATAGTCCAAAATCATACCCACTGTCTCCAAGCACAGGCCATCTTCTGAGCATCCCTGCTGCTGCCAGCTACAAAACTGCTGCAGCACCTTCCTTATATAGTAGCCCAATACCCAAACACATTAGGCCACAGGCAGGCCCCACAATCACTCTTACCAGACAACACTCTTACCAGCCCCACAGAGAGAAAGCTCAGGGCCCCCGTGTCTTTCAGGAATTTGGTGCCAGGAGCAGAAAAATTACAAACAGCAACCTAAATCAACACCCTCTACAAGAAAACAAGAGAAACAAAATGCAACATCGGAGGTTGTCCTAAACCTAATGACACTCACAGAAGAAGCAGGCATTTATATGCCACAAAAAGAAATCCTCAGAATGCTTCTTGGAGTCGTACAGGATATGAGGGAAGCAAAACAGAATATGAATCCAACAATTGAGGAGATAAAGTCCATGATTGATGGGATGAAGTCCATGCACCAAAGGGAAATACAAGAGTTAAGGGGAAAGGTAACAGAAACAAAAAACCAAGATAACAGACCTCACCAATGGACTAGAAGAGGCAAAGAATCATAACAGTGATCTCGAGGACAACCAGGCAGACTTCAACAAACAAGAAAGTCAAACAAGGCAATCAATGAGGCAGAAGAAAACCTGAGGTCAATGACAGATGCTATGAATAGGAACAATATTCAAATAATAGGAATACCAGAACACACAATGAAGAAGTCAACAGCTATAGTAACAAGCGAATTCATGGAAGAAAACTTCCCCAACTTAATGAATGAGACTCAGACTATGATACAGGAAGCAGAGAAGACACCAATTAGAGTAAACCAGGAAGAAATCACCCTGAGATATATTAGTTAAATTGTCCAACTTTGAGGAAAAGGAAAAACTCATAAGAGCAGCGAGAGAGAGAAAAAATTGCAGTCACATACAATGGTACGCAGGTAAGAAAATGCTGATACTATCAGCAGATACCATGAAGAGGAGGAGAGAATGGTGTAACATCTTCCGAAAGTTGAAAGAGAACAATGCCAGTCCAAGAATCCCCTATCCTGCCAAACTGTCTATCAACATAGACAGAGAGGTAAGAGTCTTCCTGGACAAGGAAAAACTCAAAGTATAAGTTATAAGACACCCAATCTTGTGAAAAATCCTTGCCGACTCACTCTGGTCAGAAGATCAACATCCACCAAGTACAAATAGGAGACCACCACATAGCACAACCCCACCTGGAAGTCAATGTGCTGAAAATAACCACCAAGATAACATTGCTTCAAGGGCAAAAAGAGTGCAAGAATGAAGCCCTACCACCACCACCACCACTACACACACATAATGTTATGTGGGGAGATAGGAAAACACCCAACACAAAAAGTACATGGTGACAACAATGAATCGAGAGTTGGTGGTAATAACTGAATGTCAATAGTCTGAATTCACCATTAAAAGACAAAGGCTTGCAGACTAGCTTAGAAAACAAAACAATCTGTTGCCTGAAAGAGACACAACTTGGGCTCACAAACAAAATAGGTTAAGAATAAAAGGCTGGCGAAAAATACACCAAGCAAATGGAGATCTAAAAAGTGCAGGGGTTGCAATCCTAATCTCTGACAAAATGTATTTCAAGGTGCAAATCATAATAAGAGATAAGGATGATCACTATATAATGCAAAAAGGATCAGTAGATCAAAAAACAGTGAGAATAGTAAATATATACATGCTTAACAAGAGACCTGCAATATTTGTCAAGCAAATTCTTCAAAAAATGAAAACAGAAATCTCAGACCCAGCAATCATAGTAGATGACTTTAATACACTGATATCAAAGAAAGGCCACCATGAAAGAAACTCAACAAAGTAGCTACAGAGCTGAACACCACAATTAGGCAACTCAACCTGATAGACATCTATAGAGTCAAAAATTCACTTTCTTTTCAAGTGCACATGGCTCTTATTCAAAAATAGAGCACATGCTAGGGCACAAGCCGAGCCTGAGTAAATTCAAACATAGACATCACTCAGAAGTCTCTCTCAGACCACCATGCCATAAAGCTGGAATTAAATTAAAGAATGATTTAAAAACAACAATAACAAGGCCAGACAATTGGAAGATGAATAACGACCTTCTACGTAATGAGTGGGTACTGGCCTAAATTAGAGAGGAAATTAGGAATTTTTAAGAAACTAACGAGAATGAGAACACAATGTACCAAAACCTATGAGACATAGCAAAAGCACTTATCAGAGGTTATTTGATAGAGATTAATGCACATATGAAAAAGTAAGAGAGACTGCTGACTGATACACTATCACAAAATATTCAGCAACTAGAGCAGAGTCAACAGAACAATCCCTCCAATAGCATAAGAAAAGGAATAATAAAAAGCAGTGGGAGTGGGAAGACAAGACAGAAATGTAAAAAATCAATGCAGCAAAAAAACTGGTTCTTTGAAGGGATTAATAGAATTGATAGACTGCTGGAAAATCTAACCACTGTTAGGAAAGAGCAAATATCAATAGCCAGGATGAGGAAGGAATCAGGGGAAATCACAATGGATCCTAATGAGATTAAAAGGATAATTTCATTATACAATATACAAAATATAATCTAATTATACAAACTACCATGAAAATCTGTATTCCAATGAATTCAACAACCTGGTAGACATGGACAAATACTTGGAAAAACAATCCATCCCTAGAATGTCCCTGATAGAAGTCAAGAACATCAGTAGACCCATATCAATAAAAGAAATAGATATGGTTACCAAAAAACTACCAATGAAAAAAAAAAACCCCAGGCTAGACAGCTTCACCAAATTCTACCAAGCATTCAGGGAATACCTAACACCAATTCTACACAAACTCTTCCAGAACATAGAAATAGACAGTAAACTCTCTACCTCATTCTACGAAGCTAGTATAACACTGATACCCAAACCAGGCAAGGATCCCAAAAGAATAATGAACTACAGACTGATATCTCTAATGAACATTGATGCAAAAATCCTTAACAAAATACTAGCCAATCAAAAACAAAATTATATAAAACAAATAATTCACCATGACTAAGAGGGACTCAATCCAGAGATGCAGGTATGGTTCAACATCTGAAAGTCCATCAGCATCATCTATCACATTGAGAAGAAAATGAATAAGAACCACATGATAATATCAATAGATGCAGAAAAAGCATTTGACAACACCTATTCCTAATTAAGACACTCAAGAAGATAGGAATGGAAGGGGAATCCCTTGAGTAAATACAAGCTATCTATAAAAAACTAACAGCCAAAAAAAAACAAAAACAAAAATCTAGCAGCCAGCATCATAGGCAATGGAGAAAAGATGAAAACAATCCCAAAGACAAAGGGGAGCAGACAAGGATGCCCCTGTGTCCCCGCTTCTATTCAACTTCGTACTGGAGGTCCTAGCTAACAACATAAGGCAATGAAAGGACATTAGAGGCATTAGTCTAAGGGAGGAAGAGGAGAAACTATCCTTATTTGAAGACAACATGATTCCATACATTGAAAACCCCAGAAATTCCACAATAGGAGTGCTAGCAGCAATAATGGAATATGGAAGAGTGGCTGGATACAAGATCAACAAACAGAAGTCTATTGGATTGCTATATTCATCAGAATATACATTGTGAAGGCAGTGACCTTCACAATAGCCAAGTACAAATTGAAATACCTAGGGATATACCTAACCACACCCCCATATGATTTGTATGAGGATATCTACATAACCCTACAACAAAATAAAATTGATCTCCACAAGTGGAAGAATATCCCATGCTTAAGGATTGGAAAACTCAATATAGTAAAGATGTCAATCCTACCCAAGGCAATACATAAATTTAACACTATACCAACAAATACCAACAACCTTCTTCAATGAAATAGAAAAACTGACTATCAACTTCACATGGAGAGGGAAAAAGCCAAGAATTTGCAGAGAACTCCTCAAGAAGAAAGACAAAGTCAGAGGGTGTGATAGGTAGGTTTATTGTGCCAACATGGCCAATGAACACATGTGGGATTAACTGAAGGGCGGAGAGATAAATGGCTGGCAAGCCTCGCCTTTCTTATCTCTTGCTCTTTGATGACTGGACCAGTGTGTGGCTGCCTTGCTTGTTCTGTCTCAATTTGCAAGCTACACTACCTATAGGACACCTAACTCACGGACTGTGTCACTGTAGTTTGAGGTTCCTTCAAGACCTGTTTTGCCACACTACTAGAGTATACATCTCTTGAGCTGGGGACGATCCGACCCTATCATCTGGCTGACTGTTGGTGACCTGCTGTTTGCTGTTTGCTGCCCATGGCCGAATAGACTGAATAGCTCTACAGAGGACTACCCGGTGGCCCTCAAGATTTGAAGGACTGCCAGTGTATTAGCTGTCTCATGGAAGTGAGTTG